ACACACAATGCATCCCTTACACACACAGAAACACACAATGCATTCCTTACACACACTCAATGCACCCCTTACAGACGCACACACTGCATACCGTACATACACAGAAAACACACCTTGCAGCCCTTACACATACAAACACAGATTCACACAATGCATTCCTTACACACATATCAGGACATCCCATACACACTCCACCCCCTGTGAACAAACTCATTGGTGGAATATGAAGGTGGACCCCGGGACCCAGACCTTGAGCTGTGTAAAGGGCCCCAAAAAAATGGAGCTGCTTCCCGTTCTCCCAGAACATTGATTTTTGTGACCACAGTTACAAACCGCCTCCAGAGAGCCTGTTCTGCACCAGACCAGTGGAGCCAGACTGCAGCTAGAGCCCATCATCATCCTCATCTGGTTGTAAGTAAGCAATCTAGTATATTATTTGTGGCACTAAGCTCTAATTTACCTCATATTAAAGAAACACTATAGTCCCCAGAACCACTTCAGCTTAATGTAGTGGTTCTGGTGTCTATAGCCTGTCCTTGCAGGCCTTTTAATGTAAACACGGCGGCACTGCAGCACTGGCGTTAGTTAACATGGCAAATCATATGGGTGGGGCATTGTGATGTCGGGGGGGCGGCAAACTTTACTTTTGCCTAGGGCGGCAAAAATCCTTGCACTGGCCCTGGCTGGAGGGGGCTGTGTGAGCTGTGGCCGCACAGTGTCCCATGGTAGTTAGGGTGCCGTGCGGCCAGTACAGCTCACACAAGCAAACAGCTGATAAACTGGCCGCACGGAGGAAATGTGTATGTGTGACTGTCTGCCTGTGACTGTATGTGACTGTCTGCCTGTAACTGAGTGTGTGACTGTCTGTAACTGAGTGTGTGACTGCCTGTAAATGTGTGTGTGGGGCTGCAGGGATTTTGTAGAAGGGGGCGGGGGTTTTGTATTGGGACAGGAGTCTTTACAAATTGTAAAAAAAAAAAAAAAAGAGAGAACCTTTAAAAAATTTTATTTGCCCCGAACACAAGTTTTAAGGCCGTTTGGCCTGTATTTGTGGGAGGGGCTTAAATTAATTCACTCCCCTATATAAGGGACACCCCTTACCTGACTCATATCGCTTGAGGTCAGCATCAGAATGACCCTCCCACCCACTCCACATTTCAACACTTTCTCTTTTCTTTCCATTTACTTTACTTACTTACTCCTTGGTGGGCCCTCTTTATTTACAGGCCTACCGTATCGTCGGGCTCGGCACACCACAACCGACTTGCTCCTTTATACTATCCTACGCTTATGCTGGAACCTTACTCCATATAAGGCTATTTGCCCCGAACACAAATATATATATATATATATATATGTGTGTGTGTGTAAAATAACAGATAATTGTAATACCATTTTATATGGAACTAACAGAATGTTGGATAGACAAGCTTTCAGGAGATCTTCTCTTTATCACGTCTTAAGCATTTCTGAACTAAATCATGCGCTTCAAACCCAAGTTGTGAGAAGTTCAGGGTGTTCCGTAAACACAGGTTACTTTATAAGAATCAGCAATGCATTATTGATATTTACTAAGAGAAACGATAAGCAATGCTGTAAGCTGTGTAGCCATGAAAAGAGGTAAATGATAACCTCACATTATAAGGAATCCATTTCATTTGTCACCAAGAAGCGTATTAAGTAACGTAGCTGCGCTAACATGACATTATTTCCCACAAACAGGCAGAGGGCTAATTACAAGCTCCTAAAATAAGAATCAGTTTCCCTAGTTACCAAACTCACTGCCAAGCTTAACCCTTTCACTGTCAGACAAAGGGAGGAGATAAAACATAAAGCTTATTTGATTCTTCTAAGCAATTCAGAGTCTTTTTTCATTCTGTCGAGTAAAACAATGGGGTTTATGCACTAAAACGTGAAGTGATGAGAGACCTGCATGCACATTTTAGACCAGAGCACACTTATCTATTTCTCGAGTTCAACTTCTCTGGCCTAACATTTGAATTTCCCGGGCCATGTATTTACAATTCCTGATTCAGCGGAAAAACAGCCTTTTTGGTTGCAGGTTTGATTGAATTGGGGAGGAATGACTATACCAGGGCAAACCATAGTGGTGGCATAGACCCAGCACTGATTACAGGACTGCTAGCCAAGTGACCAGTTACAAGAAAATGGTAAATGGGAGAAATCCACATTCTTTGTTTCATTACATTTTTAGTTCAGCCTCAGACAATGCAAGTAAATGGTAGAAATCACAAATATCTGAATATATTACAGAATCCCTGTGCCTTTTTAACAGGCAGGTTATGGTATCTAACATTTCAATCCACAGATGGCATCATCCCCATGAAATATTTCCTGTAGTTCCATGGGATGTGGTTAACCCTGTGAATTATAATAACATAATAATGATTTGAACCCGGGCTGGTATGAATGTATTGAAAGCTCGAGGTCACTCACTCAGGTTTCAGGGTCAGGGCTTTACTCGGCTCTGCAGCTAAGTTATTAAAGTAGATCCAGTGTCATACCTCCCAAGTTTCCCTATTTAGGAGGGACAGTCCCTAAAGTAAACCAAAATCCTTCTAACCCCCTGCTAGTTTAACCTCAATTTAGCCATTTGGATTCTCTGCCACGCTGATTAGCAGACTGACTCTCTGCCATGCTGATTAGGGCACCTACTCTCTGCCATGCTGATTAGGGCACTGACTCTCTGCCACGCTGATTAGCAGAATGACTCTGCCACGCTGATTAGGGCACCTACTCTCTGCCATGCTGATTAGCAGACTGACTCTCTGCAATGCTGATTAGGGCACCTACTCTCTGCCATGCTGATTAGCAGACTGACTCTCTGCAATGCTGATTAGGGCACCTACTCTCTGCCATGCTGATTAGCAGACTGACTCTCTGCCATGCTGATTAGCAGACTGACTCTCTGCCACGCTGATTAGGGCACTGACTCTCTGCCATGCTGATTAGGACACTGACTCTCTGCCATGCTGTTTAGGGCACCGACTCTATGCCACGCTGATTAGCAGACTGACTCTCTGCCACGCTGATTAGGGCACTGACTCTGCCACGCTGAATAGGACACTGACTCTCTGCAACGCTGATTAGGGCACTGACTCTCTGCCATGCTGATTAGGGCACTGACTCTCTGCCATGCTGATTAGGGCACTGACTCTCTGCCACGGTGATTATGGCACTGACTCTCTGCCACGGTGATTATGGCACTGACTCTCTGCATTTGTTTGGTTTAACCTTTGTTATTCCCACTAATCACCCAGTGCGCTATATAGTCACCCAGTCCTGGACATAGTCATATAGTCACCCAGTCCTGGACATAGTAACCAAGCAGTACTGTATGGTAAACATGTATGTAGGTGTTTTTTTCTACAAATCACCGGAACGGCGATGGGCACCAAGTTCGCACCAAGCTATGCTAATTTATTCATGGCATACTGGGAGGAAACAGTGATTGCACATAATGCACAATTCGCGAGCTTGGTGTCCTATCGCCGTTATATCGATGATATCTTTTTCATTTGGAAAGATGGTGAAACACAGCTTAATAAGTTTTTAGAGGATTTAAACCATAATGAGTGGGGAATCATTTTAACCTCTACATATAGTAATAACCATATTGATTTTTTAGATTTAGAAATTTTTATAGTAGAATCAAAATTACATACAAGGAATCATTTTAAAGAAGTAGATGCCAACAGCTATATTGAAAAGACAAGTTGTCATTATACCCCTTGGTTAGACAACGCCCCTAAGAGTCAATTTTTAAGAATAAGACGTAATTGCACCCAAGATAGTGACTATACAATACAAGCAAAAAGAATAAAAGAACAATTTATAGAAAAAGGATATAATCCCATAGATTTAACTACCTGTATGGAAGATGTAAAATTAATGAAGAGAAAAGAACTTATTGAATATAAAGGGAACACATCCAAAAAGAAAAGAAATTTGAGGAACAATAGTGAACCAAAAATTCCCTTCATATGCAATTATAGTGGGAACAATATAAAGATAAAGAAAATTATCCATAAATATTGGCCTATTTTACAGGAAGATCCAATTTTAAAACAGATCTTACCTCCCAAACCAATGGTAGTATATAGAGGGTGTAAAAATTTAAAGCAAAGAGTCGTTAAAAGTAGTTTTACCACTAAACAAACTGAACATTTTTTAAATAAAAATAAGGGCTTTTATGGATGTGGTTTGTGTCTAGCATGTAGGGAAACAAACCAAAAGAAAAGACATACTACCTCCTTTCAATATCAGAAAGATAAAATATTCACAATAAGAAATCAATTAACATGTTTCTCTAAAAATGTTATCTATATTTTGAAATGTCCCTGCAATCTTATATATGTGGGAAGAACAATTAGAAATGTACACATAAGGGTTGAGGAACATGTTAGGAATATAAAAAAAGGATTAGAAACACATAGCGTTTCAAATCATTTTAAAATTCACCATAATAAAGATCCGAGAGATATGTTTTTTTGTGCAATCAAAGCGGTAAATAGAGATTGGAGAGGGGGAGATTTTAATAGAAAAATAGGGGAAGAAGAGATGAAATGCATCTACAATTTTAAAACATTGATTCCATATGGGCTCAATCAAGATTTTGAGCTATGTCATTTCCTATAAAAAGATATAAACATTTATATTATTATATTTTTAATTTTAATTATTCTAATTATTTTATAACTATTTATTAAAATTTCAATTGATATCCTTTAGAATTTTAACCTATATACTATCGAAAGAAGGGGAAGGAGGGATAATTGATTATCTGACTATATTCCTGGTTCTTTTAAGATATCAATTTATTTACCTATTTGTACATATACTATAACAACACATGCATGGTCACTTTATATGGAATGAA